GCCTGTTGTTGCAAACAGTGACAGAGTGCGGGCAGCAGGGACGAGGGGCACGTGGCAAAGGCAAGCGCATGGTCGGCGGGAAGAAATTGACGAGGGTACTGCCTCCCCCCGGTGATGAAGCGCTCTGTCCGCAAATAGGGTTGTTGATTTTTGTCTCAATCATCGAAGGTATGTAGAGGAGGTTGGAAAGCATACATCGGTACAGAAATTCCAGGTTATACAACTGCCTTCACCTGTTGCGCCTCACCTCCATCTCATTTGAGCATGCACCACACATTGTCCCACCGCACCCAGCACAGGCGCGCTTGGGCCTAAAGACGGCGCAGAACCCGGTTGCCTGTAAGGCATGGGCAGAGAGGGACATATGGTTGGATTCTGCCGCTGTTCATCACTGACACGGTCACAATACAGCTTGTCGTGCGGACAACCCAGATAGGTTCCTGCGAAACAAGCTCTACCAGTTCCCGCAAGGGTGCGTGTGGTCGTTATGGTGAATGGCCTCGGGGGGTCAGAGATCCCTTGCGAATAGACCGAGTCCAAAACTGCACTTTAAAACTGCACTTTATTCCACACATCGACAGGGTGTCAATACCAAACGACACGTTTATTTGGCCCCCGCCCCCCCGTGAGATATTTCCAACGCTGCCCTTACCGCCACCGGCACCGCGGAGAAATCAAGCTTTCTTCCTCATCCCTAGGGGAGGGCTGACACACGCGGTCGACTACGGCGCTCCTTCAAAGTCAGGTCGCACACGTCGGACGATCCTCTTTTCCTATAATACGAACGATGATCTTTCTTGACAGGAATCGGCCAGAGTTCGGCGGTTTTCCTCGCAAGTAGATTATCGTCTCGCCACTGCTATACCTTGGTTCACTGGCACTACTTTCAGAATTGTTTGGCGAAGTAGACGCCGTTATACTCCGATGACAGTCAATGGTGTAGGGTGAGAACAGGACGATCGACGCGGTCAAGCTACCGCCGCTAGAAGCTCTACAGACGGAGAGCAAGAAGCGAGATACGCTCCAACATACGTGTGCGAATGTATCGAGGGTGTGTGATGAGAGCAAAGGAAGATGATTTTTCAGTCCTATCACTCGAAGGGAATATAACCGAAACGAGTGACTCCTCCCGCTGCCAACATGCAGTTACCGCATCACGATCGATGACTCAGCAACTCTGGACGTACAGTTGGCGCCCGCAATCAAGAAATATTTTGTTAAGAAATGAGGCTCACTTTTTCACGAAAAATAAAAAAACAGGGTTAAGAAACATTGCTCAATCTGAGTCACACAATTAAGAAACATCTCAATAAGAAACACAGCAGCGACCGCTGCCCTACTACATAAGAAACGAGGGGTTACGGGGGAGTGCGTCGAATAAGAAACAAACCCCACAGCTCTCTCGCTGTTTCCCCCTCTCCCCCTACCCCCCCCCTCCCATAGTGCATTATTATTAGTTGTACGCCGAGGGGGGAGTGTTTTTTTTTGCGGCGCCCCCTCCGGCCCCCTGCGGGCTCTGCGCTCTGCTCTGCTGGCGCTAAAGCTCTGATTTTCGTTGTTGGCATGTCAGCGTGCGGGTGAGGCATCATGCGGTGTTCATGCATTTGTTTAGTTTCAGCCCTCACTCATGAGGGGGGTACAAGACCTTGTAGCGATAGCAAGACGTTGCCGTTGAATACATTTCGCTTCTAGGGAGTGGCCTTACGTGCAGCCGTCGGTAGTGAGAATCGGGGTTGAGTACGGGGGGCGAGGAAAGCAGAGAAATACTAAATTGCCGACTTAAGAAATTCAGAAGGATTTGGCTGCACGAAAAAATAAGATACACTATATAAGAAACTGAACGACATACGCTGAGTTTATAGCCCACAATAAGAATTCGAGGCTGGACCTGAAATAAGCATTTCTTAATTGCGGGCGCTAACTATAGTCTCCGCCGCGGCATAAATGCATCTCACACACGCACGTCGTCGTGAGTACTCTTGCCCTTGTAGTACATGTCTATCCTACTTTCTTCGTGTCAATCATTTCGAACTGCGAATTTCGGTGAGGAGGCACAAATGAGGAGGCTTCAGGATCTGCGTGATACGCACGTGCGAACACGATGCCGCCGATGGCCGAGTTGGACGCCCAGATGCTATCAACTGAGAAGTCGCAACCCAAGTGATCGAGCACCTCCCCCCCCCCCCAAGTATAGTTGAGTGTCGCTTACCACAGAACTGACAGAACCTGGTGTTCGCTTCTACTAGGCGGGTCACGTGCAGGGCGGGAGTGGTCACGGGCAGCGCGAGTGACTCGTTTCTTCGTGGTTGGGCCGGAGAGGCCGCGATGGCACTTGATGAGGCCATTTGGAGATGACGACAAGAGGTTATTCGTGGATTGAGTGACTAGATCTCTTCCGTTGCAGAGTTGCGGGGCACAAGGCGGGCTGCTCCTGTGGGTCAGGAGCGCGAAGTGAACAGCTGCAATGCTGAAATGCAAACAAGTAAGTTACCTATAGTCTACAGATGTTTTTGTACTTAGCACCAGCTGGCATCACTGGTATAAATCATCAGTGTATGGACTTAAATAGACTCGAAATAAGTCCAGTACCCAGCCGGTTTCCCTCCACTCACTGAAAAGACTCCACCACATCCCGTTCGACTGTAGGTATATCTCGAATGGGTAGTCTTTCTGTGTGTGTTTTTATTATATTGGTTTCCCTCCACTCACTGAAAAGACTCCACCACATCCCGTTCGACTGTGGGTATATCTCGAATGGGTAGTCTTTCTGTGTGTGTTTTTATTATTCCTTAATTATTCCTTAAGTAAACAAGTAAACAAGTACACGATTGCGCCGCATCCTCTTGAAACGAACCTGAAACGCTACCCGAAACGAAACTTCGTTTGATCGAACCCGTTCCAACGCGGTCAAACCGCTACCGCTTCTGTTTTGCCCCATGTGAGTGCATGCGTGCATACTAATACTACAGCAGTCAGGAGTTGTAGAGCAAGTAGAGAACGCGCGAGTGTGCGCCCTTCATCCGAGGAGGACTTCTGCCCACTCAAGATACTTCAAGGAGTGAGTGCGTTGATAAACAAACTCGTTTTGAGAGGGGGGCACCCGTGTTTGTCTTCCCATTTTTTTTCTCCGCGGGTTTGTCTGGCGCTTCCGTCGACAAAAGCAAATTTCGCTTTTCAAAGACTCTATTCCTTTATATTTTCTCCTGCGGTACATCTCCCGTTTCGAGGAAAAGAGGTGTGTTATTATTACCTTGTCTGATATGTGGAGACAAATGTGCGCGTACAAGGAAGAGAAAGAATCATTCGTCTAGGGGTCTCAAAAACTCTTTCGTGCAAGGAAAGAAGCCAGGATGGATGCTGTGTGGGTTCAGTAAGGTGATAAAACGCATACCTACTCTGGAGATTACAGAAAATACCTCACAGCAGTGAGGAAAGGAAAACGGCACCGCTTGCTGGCTTGTAAGGTATTCCCGACTATTTCTGGCCTTGGAACCCAACGTACACGAAAACACATGTAAGTAGCGCGGCAAACTCCGTGATTCACAGAACACCGAACGCAGCGCATGCAATCTAACTCTCACTCCCCGTCAGACCGGGGTCTAGACTACCTCAGAGCAAAAAAAAACGCCCCTCCATCCACTTAATTAATTTATTGCCTCGCGATCAACTTCAGAAAGCACTCAGGTGGGACAACCGTCGACGCCAAACGTCGAGCAGGAAAAAAATAAGTCACCGCAACGCGACACTGCGCGAGTATCGTACCTCAACAAAAGTCAAACCTGTTACACCCTACACCCTACACCGGGCCGCTAGGATACCCGCCCCCCGCGCCCCCCGCCCCCTGTGTTCACGAATCACGCCTGAGCCAGAGCGGGGCGCACAAAAGCGGGTTTCTGCTTGTCAAAAGCAACGCATTACATTGCCCTGAGAAATTAAATACCACTCCATACAATAACCTCACCCAGCCAGATGAAAGAAGGCAGCCGAAAGGCAATCGTTGCCCTAAAACTTAAAGATATGCAAAAAAAGAAGGGCTGCCACAGGCCACTGAGAGTAGCATACGAACCGAATAAAAGGTAGAAATACGGAGGGGACAAGGCCGATAGATTACCATAAAATTAACTACAGGGTTGCGAAACCACGATCGCTAAATAGTGCAGATGACCCTGGGTGCTCTCCCTCAAGATCACTACATTTTCTTCGCATCAGCCCCAACTCACGTACAATTAATTTCCGGCCCAACTCGGAGTGTGCATGTTCTGACCACCGCCCGGCATAAAAAAAGTACCATAAAATACAAACCACGTAATGAGGGGCTCTCATCCGCCGGTAAAACCCGCAAGACTACGCTGGACAGGAAAGAGCAGTTCGAAAAAATAAAATGGAAAGACTACACGCGTTGACTCGGGCGGCCTTCCCCCCAAACAGACGCGATGCCCCAACTGGGCTCCAAGCCGGTAAAACACCCCCTGTGCGCGAGGAGGCACGCACCCGTGCGACGACAAAAAAACTGATGGAACTGAATCCCCCTCCCCCCCCCGTGTGCACAATATACCCCGTGCGAACGCTACATACATCCTCCAAGTAGCAAGCAACACGTGCGCCACCGCTGACGCCACACCAGTCGGAGTCTTCTTACGCTTCGAAGAATGCCGCCAAAACAAATCACGTTCCTTATTCACGCCCGAGGCAAAAGGCAACGACGACTGACGACCCCCCCCCCCCCCCCCCCCCACCCCGAT